CAAGGCAGCCCGACCAGCAAGGCAGCCCGACCGTCAAGGCAGCCCGACCGGCAAGGCAGCCCGACCGTCAAGGCAGCCCGACCGGCAAGGCAGCCCGACCGGCAAGGCAGCCCGACCGGCAAGGCAGCCCGACCGGCAAGGCAGCCCGACCGGCAAGGCAGCCCGCTTGACGGCTAGCACACTCCTCAATATCTAACTTCATTCACAGAGAGAGATAGTTCTTACAACAATATTAGACAAGAACAATTAACCAAATTATTACAACTAAAATACATATACAAAATGTGTTTGAACGCGTTTACAAACCAGGCATTACATTGCCCTCGGCCCTCTCACCTCACCTTACGGCAACTCACTTCACCTTACGGGTTCGTAACTCAAATAGTCAGCTAAACGTGAGGTGTTGTACTGAACTCGGATTCAACTGGCTAACAAGAACCACCAGCTGAGTTATCATCCAGAATCTTTATTGGACCATATGGGGTAGTGGTTAGTACTTCATGAGGTAATCTGTACAACCGGCTGTTTGGTCCTTGTGAATTGAAGTCTCCATCGTGGAGTCCATCAGTCGCGCATCTATCACTGACAATACGAATCTCATCGGAAGAGTTTGCTCGCAAATTTTTGTAACCAAAAAACCGCCGCGCTATTTTTCTGTGTGAAGTGTTTTGTCTCAGTTGTGTGGTACGAGGTGGTGCAGCAGACACCAATTATTTTTTGAATGTACGAGATGTTGGCCGAACGCAAGACGTGGTATATGATGGCCGTGGTCTGGCCGATTTTTAATGGATTCTATCAGGCTCGTGATAATGCCCTTGAACAAAAACAATGGAACCCTTCCATGTTAACATGGAAGGGTTCCCTTGCATCAGGAACATGGGATGTGTGTTATTTGCCTCGCAGGCCAGAAACCACTCTGGCGCTAACCATTTTCGCAGCTGTGCTGCCCTTTGTCTTGTTGCTCATGTCAGTTCGTCGCATGAGAAGACGGCGAGGACCTGACCACGACCTGATGTCAAGAGCCAAACGTCGAAGGGCAACTCCGACATTTTTGACTCCGATGGAGCTTCACGCATCTATCTCAAGCTCCGCCAGTTCTTCCCCCGGCAATCGTCTCTTAAATCACCTACCACTCTGTCATCATAGAGCGAACCGCGCCGGCCGGCCGTGCTGGTTCGGGCGGTTACCGAGCTTCGGCCCTGATGGCATTCCCTCAAGCTCGCCTCCCCTCGCTCGGGTACTCCCCGCACAGGGTAACGAGAGGGCGGACAAACGGTTGCGGTTAGATGACGCCAGGAACCATTGGCCGGGGACTGAACCTCTCCGGCATACACGAAACATCCGGCACGATACTGATGATGCCACCAGCCGAGAAACTGTTATTCTAGAAGAGGGTAGAGGGACCTCGGCCTGGCCCCACTACACCAGACAATTCCCATCTCCTGGACCTCTGGACTACGACCTGTGGAAACGGTGGGCTAAATCGAACTTGAGGTCTCGCTGGTCTATTTTTTAAAATACTGTTCATGATCATTGGCCCTTTATAAGGGGCTCTTTATAATGAGCCACCTTCTGACGACGTAGCCAGCGTCTGACATAATCGTAGCCTTCACCCACGTCGTGCATCCTATGAGCCACACATCCTATGAGTGTGTGCACACACCTCATTGCGCGCAGTCGCACGCTATGTAGTCCTTCCACTATCAAGGCCACTGTCAGGACGGGGGCGAGGCCGGTGATGACCCGCAGTTGCAGCATTCTTTGCATAGCCATCCAATTGCACTATGCGTTTTAGATCTAGGTCGTGCCGGAGGGTTGTGGGCGGACTGAGCTCTGACGGAGCCTCGCCCGCTCCCACCGGCGGTGGAGTGGCTGGGGATTTGCTCGGCATGTCTTGTCCTTCGCGATTCGATAACGCCTGCTTGATTGGTCAAGCCTGCTTGACCCGGTGCAGATAGACCGGGACGAGGGATTTGCTTGTTGGCCAATCGTCCTGTGATGTAGTCGTCGACATTGGGTTTATACTGTCTGGCACTGAATTTTTTATCGCTAAGCATCTTGAGAAGGGCTTCCTTCGTCTTGGGGTCGGACTTCATGGCCGTGCGATAAACTAGTTCATCATCTTTTGTGCGAACAAAGTGAGACTTGGCTGGGTATCTTTCCTGTCCTCGAACAGCTAGGGTTTGCTCAATGACTGTCACTGTGTTATTCACGCTGTCCGGCATTCCTACTTCGATGGCCTTCTGCCCCAAAAATTGTTTGCGCCACGACTCGTGTTCAGCCAGCAGTCGTTCTACGTTATTTGCTCCTGCCGAGTCGCCGGCAGGTTGATCCGTAGCTATCGAATCGGCGCCTGAGCTGAGCTGTTCAAACATGTCGCCCTCTGTCGGCTGCGCTAAACTGCTCCCCGGAGCGGAAGATTGCGCTCGCTTGGCCGCCTCGGCCTCCGCCTTTTTAGTCGCCTCGGCCTCCGCCTTTTTAGCCGCCTCGGCCTCCTCCTTGAGCTTGTCGAAGTTGGTCCGTAGCTCTTGTAGGTCCTGCTTCAACTGCTCCACCTGTTGATCGGCCATGCGTTTCAGCTCTGCCGCCGCCCTTTTTTCCGTTTCCGCCTTAGCTTCTTGCTTTTTCACCGCCTCTTCCAATTTCTTGTCTGCAGCACCCTTCGCGGCCTTCAACTCGTTCTTCAGCTTGGCAATCTCTACATCCGAAACCGCCTTCTGCTTCCGTACCTCCGCCTCCGTCTGCTTCTTCGCCTTCTCCAACTCAACTTTCTGTTTCTCAAACTCCGCCTTCTCCTCCTTCAACGCAGCCTCGTCCTTCCGCACCCTCTCCAAAGCCTGCTTGTGCTTCGCGCCTTGCTCAGTCGCCTTCTTCTCCAACTCCGCAGCCGCCTTTTCAGACTCCTGCTTCACACGCTCTGCCTCCGCTTTCGCCTCCTCCTCAGCTTTCCGCGCATCCTCCGCCTCCTTCCGAGTCGCCTCCGCCTCCTCCTTCGTCATCGGTGGAGGAGCATTTATCAACTTCGTCAGCAACGGCTTCTCGTCAGTATAGTTACCTAACAAACATTCACTTATCTTAAGCACACCAAGGCGCACCCAAGAACATTTGCAAGCACACACCACCCGTAATAGAGCGCGACCGACGCCAGCAGCACACACGTGCGGCAGTGTAGGTGCATGAGGACTGTGAACCCATCCCAGCCCCGCTTGTTTGTGTCCCGCTTGTCTGGGAAGCTTTCTGGGAACGCCAGCACCATTGTGAAGGTGGCGGCTAAAAAGCGAAAGAACGGGTGGGAAAAAACACGCGGCCCCGGGCAATAAGGCATACCTTTCTCATCCACCGTGTTAACCAGTTCCAGATATCCTTTGACCTCGACGAATAATTGAGGTGCTGTGGTCATGGTGCTTTAAGCGTGGCAGCATGCACCTTCATTTCCTCTCGTGTGGTGTTGCATCGCGACTGCAGTTTACCCCCAGATGCGGATAGTATCGCCGGCCGGACCGAACCCAGGGGCCATAGTTGGGTCTCGAGAGCGGTTGCAGGGTGCGGGAGGGGCTGGCGCGAAGCGGGGATGGGTACCCGCACACAGGTTGGAATAGCTGCAGCAAAACGGCGCTTTTTTGGTCCCGGTTGAAATTAATTTGAGGTCGGCTTCGACGGCAGAGGGTAGGCCATAACACACACAGAAAGGGTCGCTTGGGACGCACACACGCGTGCGGAGGGACACACACACGTGCGGAGGGACACACACGCGTGCGGAGGTGGACATGTATTTGGTTGTAGATGACATCAACTCAGAGCATAAAGCTGTTTGGTTTGTATTCCTTCGAGGACGTTGAATGTAGCGACCTGTCCTTGGTTGACTACATTAGCGTGCAGAACAAGGGTACCGTGTATACCCCGCATTCTGCCGGTCGTTGGAACAAGAAGCGTTTCCGCAAGGCCCAGTGCCCCGTTGTGGAGAGGTTGGTTAACTCTCTGATGATGCACGGGCGCAACAACGGCAAGAAGATGAAGGCCATCCGTATCGTCAAGGACTCCTTTGCCCTGATTTCTCTCACTACGGAAAAGAACCCTATCCAGGTTCTTGTGGACGCCGTACGCAAGGGAGGTTGCCGTGAAGACGCCACTAGAATCGGTTCTGCTGGTGTCGTCCGCAGACAAGCCGTGGATGTGTCCCCCCTCCGAAGGGTCAACCAGGCCATCTACCTCATCACTCAGGGCGCCCGTAACGCGGCCTTCCATGCCGGCAAGTCCATTGCCGAGTGCTTGGCGGACGAAATCGTCAACTGCTCTAAGGAATCGGCCAACTCTTATGCCATCAAGAAGAAGGACGAAATCGAACGCGTAGCCAAATTCAATCGTTAAGATTTTTTGCCTCAACCATACCAGCCCGTGCATCAAACCGACCCACATATCTATTACGCCTCTGCCAGCATTACCAACATCACCAGCATCACCAGCATCACTGTTGATGGACCTATCGATGTACCTATCGATGTACCCGTCTAGTTGTAGTGGTGCTCCTGAACGCCGGATTTCAGCAACCCCACTTAGACTGTTGACTTGATTGTTTAGTCAGCCGACAGCGACGTATATTTTTTTCCCCGGGATGTTGCGCCAGCAGCAGCGTCAGTTACGAGAGTACTTGAATCGGAAGAGGAATGTGGAGGAAGCCAACAAGCGTTTGGGGGATGTTAAACGTTTACGGGAAGCCCTGGATACAAATAAGCCGATTCCTTCGGACTTGCGTGGCACGGAACTACCCAATGGAAATATGATAGTAGCGGATGGCAATGATTGTGTAATTGACGATGAGTACCGATTGTGTGGTACGTATGACCCTCGAATCTTGATAACTACTAGTCAGAAGCCTACAGGTCCTTGTATTCGATTCGCAAAAGAATTTGCATTGATGGTTCCGAACAGTACACGAGTCAACCGAGGTCAGATGAATGAAGAAGAGTTAATGGAGTTATGCAAAGCCCAAGGATGTACGGACTATATACAATTTTCAGGAAGTGATGGCGAAGGTAGACCTACATTAATGGTCATATCACATTTGCCATACGGGCCCACTGCTCATTTCACTATACGGCAATTAATGCTGAGAAGTGACCTATCCGAGAAACCACCAAAAATGAAACAAGCTCTACCACATTTGATCTTCCATAATTTCGACGGACAGATTGGGCATCGAATCATGAGAATACTAAAATTCATTTTCCCTAAACCATCAACAATTGACGATCAAGATACTCGGGTTATTAGCTTCATCAATCTTGGTAATGATGTTATCTATGTCCGGCATCATACAATTCTCAGCAACTCAACATTACGAAAATTCCGACAACATGATCCTGCTCTTAAAGACATGACAACATCACAAAAAGATTCACTGCTGGAGAATATAGACCTTGATGAACAAGGGCCAAGATTTACATTGGAACCTTTCAAAATCATCCGAGGAATTCCAGGACAAAAATATGCTGATATCGAATGGCAAAGAAGTTACTATGTCAGAAAATCCGCCAAAATTCTGGGCACACAAAATTTATGACCATCCATGGGGGGGAGGGGGGATTGTCGTCTGCGCTCCCACCCGTGGGGATCGGGTTGTCTCCCTAGGATTACAATGCGGGAACTCAGGATGGCGTAATCTTTAGGGCAACATATTTTTTTCACCCGGTCTATTTTCCGTCTTAAAAAAAATTGCACTCACAAAGCAACTCGTAAAACGACTTGTAAAACGACTCGTAAAGTGACTCAAAAAGTACCTGTGATTGAAAGCACTCACTGTGCCTGACCATGGACGTCAAAGAAACGACGACAATTTCTTTCGTTGGTACTGGGACGACCTCTTCTGAAGTTAATCAAGATCGGGATAAAGCTCTAAAGACTTTATTGGACATAATAGAACAACCGACTAAGAAGGTATCTAATAATTTATCATTGTATCTACTTGATTCAGAATCGTGAAAAAATTTGGCAGTTCCTACCGGAATGGTCTTGTGAATCATTACCGGGAACATTTCTGGTAAACATTGCTGTCACCGACCACGAATTGGTCGTTGCGGCACATCGAAAGTTAGAGGCATCTTTCTCTGAGTGGACACTTCAGCTGGAGAACAAGGGTATCTTGGTTATAGGAGGAGAGGGTAGCAAGAAGTTGTTATCCATCTCATTTAGAAAACATTTGCTTCGGAATGAACCTTGCAAATCATACGACTGTAAGGAGGATACGACCGTAGTTGGGGATACGATCTTACGGGGGGGATACGATCTTACGGGGGGGGATACGATCTTACGGGGGGGGGGATACGACCTTACGGGGGGGGGGGATACGACCATAAAGAATGTTTATTTTAGTGATTCATGTTAATCCAAATTCTACAAGATATAGGAGTTCGTCTGTAAGGGTTGAATTGAAACGAAGATTCGGAGCCCCATTGGAGAGTCGTTGTTTGAAAAGTCGATCTAGAGAGTTTGTTGTGATAATAATTGAGTCATCAGATCATCCGGTTTGTCAAGATCTGGTGCAAGATTTGATTGGATACGTGCGAGAAGATCGGAAAGAAGGTGGGCAGATGAGTTTACTTTTAGTGCTGTTCACAGATTCTCTATTTTTTGAGGCACAGATCGCGTTGTGGAGATTATCAAGATTAGAACATTATTTGGTAGGGAATGCTCATACGCATATGGATTTCCGGTACGAGATAAATTCATTATTACGTAAATCGAATAAGGTGGAATTTCTTTATCTTCTCGGTGAGCCTAGGTTAAATTTGGAACGCTCATCAGCAGGATATCGTGCCGATCTAGAATCTGAAAGTGAAAGTGATGGTTTTGTCACAGACGACGCATCAAGTTCAGATAACACCACTTCCCCTACCGCCGATACAGAAAGAGTTCTTCAAGATGCACAAGGAACTTTGATACACTCACCCCCAAGGCAACTTTCTCGAGGACCCAATCTCCTCCGCCATGTTATCCGCCAAAGGCACTCTACAGACGAAGAACAAGGAACGCCGCCTACTACCAATGCCAAGAAGGTTTGCCCGACAACACCTGCCCAGACACCTCCCAGAAAGACAACTATAAAGACAACCAAAATCGTCACTCAAAGGACACCTGTTAAAAAAACACCTATCAAAAAAACACCTATCAAAAATAACAACAGGACGCCACACAAGACTGCCAAATCTACAAAGTCGGAACCGATGAAGGGAAAACAAATTGACCTGAAACCACAACCGAGAATCACTCGCAGTACGAGACAACACAAGGTCGAATGGGTGGTTAAACAATTGATCCAATTCAAAAGAAATTCAATCCATAATGTCCTTGACACGTTGAGACAAAACTTTGAAGTACTAGAACATCTCAATCATATCAGAGTCAAACCCGGCAAGATCGTGGCCCCCGATCTGCTCGACTGTCTTCAACCTCTAGAGATCTCTGGTGCTAACCAGACGTTCGATTTAGGCCCCATGACATTTCAGACGTTTATGGATCTCATAAAAACAACTAACCAAAATCTTTAACCCGACGTCCTAACCCTTTTGCAAATACACCTAAGAGAGCGCCAGACAAAACGCTACTGATGTCTGAATCCTCGTTGTCCGGTCAGAAACGACCAAGATGCGGCGAGAACACAGTACCAGCTACCGCCATGGCGCCGCCAATGACGACCACCAATCAGGGGTGTCCCATCCCCTTCTCGGACGCCAGCGACTCACTCAAAGGGGAACATAGCCGTGGTCCTGTGTTACTCCAGGACCAGATTCTGCGCGAGAAGCTCACGCACTTTGACCACGAACGCATACCCGAACGCGTTGTGCACGCCCGAGGAGCCGGAGCACACGGATACTTCGAGTCATACGCCGACCATTCAGACCTCACTTCCGCACAATTCCTCTCTCAGCCTCGACTTAGAACACCCGTGTTCGTTCGCTTCTCCACCGTTCAAGGCTCAAGGGGCTCCAGCGACACCGTTCGAGACATTAGAGGCTTCGCCACCAAGTTTTACACCACTCAGGGCAACTGGGACCTGGTAGGGAACAATGCTCCCGTCTTCTTCATCCAGGACGCCATCAAGTTCCCCGATTTCGTCCACGCTCTCAAAGGAAACCCGCAAAACGATATACCTACCGGATCCTCCGCACATGACTCGTTCTGGGACTTTGTGTCCCTTTCGCCAGAATCGACCCACGCAGTCTTTTGGGCAATGTCTGACCGAGGTATTCCCAAGTCTTTTGCGCACATGCAGGGCTTCGGTGTTCACACCTTTAGGTTTATCAACCAAGCAGGAGTATCCGTGTTCGTCAAATTCCATTGGACACCCGTACAGACTGGCGTCTGCTCCCTGCTGTGGGATGAAGCACTCAAGGTCGCAGGTGCTGACCCTGACTTCCACAGAAGATCCCTGTTCGAAAATATCGAGGCCGGAGCATATCCTGAATTCGAGCTCGGCGTCCAGGTCTTTAACGAAGATCTCATCCGTGTACCTGCTTCAGGACCTGACGATTCTGTCCTCATCGATCTCCTTGACCCCACCAAGCTGGTTCCCACCGAACTTGTGCCAATCAGGCCTCTGGGCAAGATGGTACTTGACAAGAACCCTGATAACTTCTTTGCAGAGACAGAGCAAGTAGCCTTCTGTACTGCCCACCGCATACCAGGAATCGATTTCTCTAACGACCCTCTTCTCCAAGGCAGGCTCTTCAGCTATACCGACACACAAATTACGCGGCTCGGCGGACCTAATTTTCACGAGATCCCCATCAACAGACCCAAGTGCGCCACCGTGAACAATTTCCAAAGAGACGGGTTCCACAGGCAGGTTGTGGACAAGGGACAAGCCAACTATGAGCCGAACTCTCTAGGTGGGCCCCTGAAACATGAGGCTCCCCAGCTGGACGAACAGATGTCCACAACTGCACCGGCGGTGACGCCTCCAATGGTGACCCCTATGGAAACTGCCCCAAGTGTTCTAACTGGGGAAATGCCTGCTTTCGTCAAGAACTTGCTCGTCAGGGCAAAGCCTAGGGGCTTCCAGGATCACTATTCGCAGCCGCGGCTCTTCTACCAAAGCTTCTCAATACCTGAAAAGAAACATCTTGAGTCGGCGTTTACATTCGAATTAAGCAAAGTGACACGGCCGTGGATTGTCCAACGGGCCGTGGACAAAATGCTGGCGCCCGTGGACCTCGCACTGGCCGAGGCAGTCGCCGCGCAACTTGGTATCAAAGTAACGCCACCCACCGCCGCGGTCCCGACACTCACCCCGCAAGCCTCACTCAGCCAAATGTCATACTTGCCGAAACGGCCGGTTGGCAGAAAAATCGGCATCCTCGTCCGAGACGGCTCGCGCGCCTCACAGGTCAAAGACATCCAAACTTTCGCCTCGAAAAACCAAATCACGGCACTCACGCTTGGCCCGAAACGCATAACGTACACAGCCGACGACGACTCCGAGATTGTGACCGATGCCAGCGAAGAAGCCCTTCCTTCTTTCATGTTCGATGCCGTCTGCATACCTGCATGCCAGTCACCGGTCCAGGATTCAGTGACCCGAATTTTCATTAAACAGGCGTTCAAGCACCTGAAACCAATTGTGATTCTGCAAGATCCCACCGAAACTCTTCAAGCGCTAGGATTGCCCGCCGACGAAGGTATCCTGATTGCGCCTGAATTCAGTGCAGTCAGCGACGCCTTTATTAAAGCCCTTTGCCAGCACCGCGTGTGGAGCAGACAACCCAAGGCCGAAGAGATCGACGCCTAGACATCAATGGCGAAACCCTATCCCCGAAGCCTGGACCCCGCCCCCGAAGCCTGGGCCCCGCCCCGGAAGCCTGGGCCCCGCTCCCGAAGCCTGGAAACCCATATCTAGAGATCAATGCCCAAGTCGTAAAAGTCGGCAGATGCAAATTCCTCTAATAGTTCTTCGTTCCAGGCAGGTTCCATTTGTTCCTCCACGTCCAAGTGTTCAGTGTCCTTTGCCAGTTGATGAGCATCGAAGTCGAGTACCAAGCTTCGGTGGGGCGGCACGGTTTCTACTTCGACAGCCGATGACGACGATGCAATTTCCCGCAAGGAAGCACCACCCAATGGAATCGCTGCGAAGACAGGTTTGGGTAGACCCGGGTCTGCCATAATCTGAACCGGAACGAAATCTGGAGTATTCGAATTGTTGACCAAGACCCGGAGCTGTCCAGTAGGAATAGCTTTGTGTCCAGATGCGGAGTAGACCTTTCCAACTAATGTGTCTTGTGCTCCGACAACTCGGCGCCACTACGAAAAAGAAATCAGATGGACCAAACCACTTACTGCAATAAATGTTTGATTGTGCTTGCCACTGTTTGCTTGCGCTGGGGTTGCAATCGGACATTTTTCTTGACCCGCGACGCTGTAGTCGAATATGAGTCCCGCAACGCCGTAACTAGATCCAAAATTATCCACGTACATGCCAGCTTGAGCAACCTGGTTGCCGAAAGAAAACTCTTGTACCAAAGATATGCCATTGCCGCAGTCCCAAGTCACGGCGACTCCTTCAAATACAGGGGTTCGAGGAATGTCTCCAACTCTGGTGGTTGGGGTGACGACGGCGCCTCTATATCGGTTTGGGGCCAGTCGCTGCGGAACTGCTCCGTCGGCCCAGAGCGACTCCCATTTTTCGTGGATGTGCTTTGAGCTCGATTTCAACGGTTTTTCGTCCACTTTGCCTGCTGCTCGTAGGTTACCATACGGCAATTCGAGTTGAAGCTGCTCCACATCCGCTTTGCTTTGTTTGGCGTGCTCAATCAATTCAGATATTTTCAGCGGCTTTGCTGGGGCCAGCCGAGGCGTAATGACTGCCCAGGAGAGCCAAGTGAGCAGTTGCATTAAAAATCGCTTGTTCGATCAAACACGCGCGCGCGATAACACTGCATGATTTTTAAAGCGGGCAAATTAGAATGAACGACGATAGCACAATAAAGCAGGAGGAGAATAGTAGTATACAAGAACCACCGAAGAAAAGGAAAAGGAAGTCAGGTTGGAGTGTTAAAGATGATTCGCAAGCTTCAAGCACTCCAGCCGCCGGATTTTCCGGGCCTGTTGTGAGCGCAGCTCCGGCGGGCGGAGTTGTTCCAGCTATGACTTCGATGGTGACTCCATTACCGGTGAACCCAATGGATGCGGCGTTGTCTAGTAGCAAGCTTCATATGTTAACCCAGCAATTAGGTTTACCGGACGAAATTGTGAGACAGACGCGGTAAGCAGAAAGCGAAGGCAAAAGTAACTGTTGTCCTGACAGGAGATTCTTTGTCGCAGCCCGAGCCGCTGAGTCTTGTGTCGGATAGTCAAGTAATCCTCCCTTTCTGTATATCAATTTTCTTGTAGTGAATTGGATGTGACGAATTTGCCTCCGAACATAGATGCTGCTTCTTTATCAGACTTCTTATCTGCTGCATTGATAGCATTGAAGGGTAATGTGATAGCAGGTAGTCCGGTGCTTCGAAGTCATTTTTCGTTGGATGGCTCTTACGCGACAATTGAGTTGCGAACAATGGAAGAGGCTAACAACTGCATGATGCTGAATGGTGTTTCTTGCTTTGGTTCTCGCCTGCAGATAAGTCGGACAAAAGCATATCCAGATGTCTTGACCAGTTTGGAGATAGCAAGGAGGATCACGATGCCTAGCACGTCCCAGGTAGTTAGGGGGATGCTGACTGGCGTGCCACTTAATGTATCTGCGCCTTGTGAGGTACTCGGGCCTGCGTTTAATGAGACTACAAGTCGTATGGGTCCTATAGTAGCCAGCTACCCCAACACAGTAGTAAAGACCCAGCCCAACGTATTGGTCCTTAGAAACCTACCCACTCCAGATATACTCCCAGAGACAAGGTTGCTAGAATTATTGACTACCTTGGGCTCTCTAAAGTTTGCTGTACACTTCGGAATGCCTTCCCTTATCGCAATGAGGAGAGTACTCTCTCTGTATATAACTAGAAAGAATCAAGCAGACCATGGGAAGAAACGGCGAAAGTTCAAGCATGACGCCAATAGTATAAAGAAGGAGGAGAGCCAGAATGAAAGCAATACTCGGAGCATGAATGTAGCTCAAGCCAGTCAGGAGAATAGCAAAGGGGAGGACAGTAGTCAGGAGAATACCATCACGGGCGGCAAGGCGGGCCAAGAGCTTCCACAGCCAGAATCGGACCGCCTTATGGAATCATTAACAAACCGGGCCACGGAATCGTTGGCAGACCGGGCTATGGAAGAGATTATGGGTCTTCCCTCAGAAGAGGGTATCTGTGTGTTCGAATACCATTCTCCTGTTGACCGGATGGCTTTGGAAGACTTAGTCCGGAACCATCAACTTACCTTGGCGGGTCGAGATCCGTGTTTGATTCGAAATGGTGACAAGGCGTTGGCTTCCGACGAGTTGCTGATGCTATTGTTACATCACGTGATAAGAAACAGTGTTAAAAAACATGTACCTATGCAGCCCGATTCACTGATAGTGCCTACCAGAGTGTTGTATTTCGTAGCTATTGCCACCCCGGACGAGGTGGGGACAACGGATGAGTTGTACCGAGATGTATACGAAGATATCAGGATCCAGTGCAAGCTGACCGGAAAGGTCATCGACCAGTTGCTTGTACGACCTGGTGGCCTTTCCACAGACGTTTCCGCCATGCCGCAATCCAACATAACATCTAGCACTTTGGTCTCAGGCGCCGTAGCTACCGGGGCTAATTCCACTGCCATTGGGAAACCGCCAGCTCTCACAGACAAAGCTCTTACAGGCAAAGCCGCAACCGACAAAGCGGCGACTGGGGAAGAGATGCTGGAAGGCTGGTGCTTTGTAGAGTTCGCCACAGTCGAAGATGCCTGTCGGACGCGGAAGGAGCTTCATGGTCGCCTCTTCGGTTCAAGGCCGGCCGAGGTACACTTCCTCGATGAACGGGTATGGTTGGAGAGACGGCTGACTTTGGAAAACCTGCAACCTAACCGCTGCAAGCAAGGCAGCACTACCTACAATCCGGCTCTTGGTGCGCACATCCCGCAGAAGCTTAAGGAGGTCGACGAATACGAACGTCGGGAAAAAGATGAAAATCGAGCAGCCGCAACTGCGGCCGCCAACGCTCTCTTCAACCCCTCCCTACCCCCGCCACCGCTCCCTCCCACAGCCGAAGCCAAGATCGACTTCGATGCCGATGTAAACAAGGAAGAGGAAGATATGGAGGAGTAATGTTTTTGTACCGCCTAACTCTCGCGCATAAATTGCCGCCCTTGTCTGCAGTGAACCTGGGAGTGAACCAAGAAAAAATGGTCTGTAGTACAGGCTATGGAGACACACATCGGAGACAGTCCTTCGAAGACAAAACATAAAACCACTTAAGCCTGTTAATAGATTAGATTAGGCCGGTTACAATGTCATCTGATTCTGCCTCTCGTGAGAAGAAGCTGAACTGGTTGTTGGGTTTTTTACTGTTGGTGGCTACCACGCTGGCGATTGTGTTCGGTGTGTTATGGGGTAAGTCTGATGATGATGACAAGACTACGACCGTGACGGTCTATCAGAATGCAGAGGTACCTCAAGACGGTCGTACTACGGGGTTGCACAAGTACTATGACGGCGTGGCAGACGAGCTGCCCAACATAAAGTTGAACAGCGACGTGCAGAAGATATATGATGGGATGTCGTACGAGCAACGACTTGGTCAGACGATTCAATACGCCATCGGCGACCTGACTGGTCCCCCTATCATCGACGGTAGCGATGACGCTTGGATGACACTTATTCAGCAGGGTATGGTGGGTTCGATGCTCAATGTCTTGAACCTGACCTTCTTGAACATGGCTCAGAAGGCAGCCAAGGAGGCAACGGGTGTGCCCTTGCTTATGGGTTATGATATACTCCATGGATTTAAGACAATCTTCCCCGTAAACCTGGGCATGGCTTCCTCCTGGGACCCAGCCATGGTAGAGGAAGCAACAGCTATCGCAGCCGGAGAAGCTGCAGCCGGAGGACTGTACTGGGCATTCGCGCCCATGGTCGACTTGACACGGGACGCACGATGGGGTCGTATGAGTGAGGGCTTTGGGGAGGACCCGCTACTCAGTGGTCGTCTCGGTGCAGCTGTGGTCAAGGGTTACAAGACAACGGCGTAGTCTCATGTGTGAAACACGTCGCGGCTTATGGTGCTGGAGAAGGGGCGGTTGAGTACCAAGAAGCTGACATGTCGTGGTACAAGTTGCATAATGAATATTTGTTACCATACAAGGCGGCCATCGAGGCGGGAGCGTACACGACCATGTCTTCGTTCAATTTGCTGAACGGGGTGCCGATGCACGCGTATCGCGAAGTACACGAAGACATTATCAGAGGTATGTTCGGGTTCCGGGGTTTCACGGTCTCGGACTATGGTGCAATCATGGAGTTGAGCCACCATAATGTGAGTGATGCCGATCATCCGGAGAATGCCGCTATGCAGGGTTTGTATGCTGGGGTGGACATGGATATGGCGGACGGGTACTACGACAAGTTACGAAAGTACAAGGACGTCGTGCTCCCGAACGGGCGAACAGTTGAGGACGTTGTGAATCTGTCTTGCAAACGAGTGCTAAAGGTGAAGCAGGACATCGGGCTGTTCGAGCATGGAGGGTTGGCCCTGACGGAAGATCGCGATAAGTTGTGGAGCACCGTGTGGTTCACAGATGAGCATCTAGAGGTGTCTCGACAAGCGGCTATCAAGTCTTCTGTACTGCTGGTCAACAAGGATAATACACTGCCTCTGACGGCTCCCGCTGATGGAGACGATAGAGAATTCTTGCTTATTGGTCGCATGGCCGACTTCCCTGACGACCTAATGGGGTCTTGGGCCGGGTTGTACCTGGATCCGGAAATGACTCCCAGGCAACATACTATTACCAGGGAGATCGACCTGCGGTTTGGTTGTAAATTGGCGGACTCAGATGACACTATTACTGATACTGGTTGTAACTGGCAGTACCGTAAAGGTTGGAATCAGATATACGACTCAACTCCGAATGATGGCGAGTTAGATGACACTGATATTGCGGCGAACAAGGAAGTATTGGATTTAATTAAGGCTGACCCGAAGCGCTTTAACACGATTTTCATGGTGGTAGGTGAGTCGTTCGTTCAGAACGGAGAGTCTACTGCCCGAGCTCATTTAGAGTTGCCTCTTACGCAGGCGCAGTTGGTGAAAGACGTCCGTACTGCAGCAGACCCCGCAACGAAGTTGGTCCTTATTCTCAACATCGGCCGTCCTAATATCATCACATGGGAGGCTGCGAATGTAGACGCTATCCTGCTAACTTGGGCTCCGGGATCCATGGCAGGTCCGGCGATTTTCGACATGGTGTTCGGAGCCGCGGTTCCTAGCGGACGTCTGCCAGTTTCATTCCCCCGTTCGGAAGGACAGATACCGGTATATCATTCCAAACGCCCCTCGGGTCGCATGATGCCCACAGGAATGGAAGATGGTATTTACAACCCGTTGACTGACAAGTTCTTCTCACGCTACCTCGATGAAAAGGTAGTACCTCTCTTCCCCTTTGGGTTCGGACTTAGCTACAACCAATTTGAAATCTCAGATGTAAGCATTGACAAGGAAACTGTCACCGGTGATGGAACATTCACCATTTCCGCCACCGTCAAACGAAGCGGCGACCACCTTGATTTGGCCGAAGGCGAAGTTGTCCAAGTCTACATTCACCAAGCCACTAGCACTATGTCACCTCCGGTGAAGAAACTGAAGGAATTCCAGCGCGTAGAGTTCGCCAGCAAAGACACCTCCAAGTCTATCAAGATCACAATGAATGCGGCCGACGCCTTCGGATACTACAACGGACAACTGAACTACACTGTGGAAGAAGGTACGTATTACATCTACGTCGTACACGACTCTAGTGAAGCCGGAGACATCAAAAATGGTATTGTTGTCAAAGTGAAGAATTGAGAGTATAGGGAAAGACCGCATATCAATCAATACTACTCGCTTGTACCGATTTTGCGAAGTGTACAAGCGACGATTTTTTTCAGTCATTTTTATTATAGCAATTTGTTATCTCCTGAGCCACCAACATGTCGTAGTTCGTGTTTACTGCTAGTGTTTTGTAGTTACTGCTAGAAACCCGCCACCTCCAGAAAAGAAAAAAAAATTCTTTTGTAAGATACAACACGCTTTCTTGACGTGGTGCGCGCGATTTTGCACTTTCTTACTCCCCACCGGATTGGTGCCGGATTGGTGTCTGCATACCACTGCTAGATGATTTGGTTCTTTCTTTATCTTACGTTTGGTTGTTTTTTGATCCTAACTCCGAAATCACCGCTGACTTAAACTCTGAGGCCACCGCTGAGTTATTTTGGTTTATGGACTAGACGAGGCTTCTTGTTATTCTCCTCTTGGATGCATTGGGTGGTTACAAAAACGTTGATGTCAGTGCTTATCGTTCTTATGGCAGCTTGTATTGATTTTGTGGAA